GGTCGGGGCTGGCGCGGTGTCCCGGAGGACAGACGCACTCGAAGGAGCCGTCGGTGTTGGTACAGATGCCGCTCTGGCAGAGGTCCTCCTCGCTGCATTCGTCCACGTCTGCGGGACAGAATCCAAAACCCGACCCACCTCCTCCTCCGCTCCACCTCCCAGGCCATGGCCCTCCACAGCCCTCTCCCCGCTCCGGCCAGTCTTAGGCTCCTCCCTTCTCAAGCCCCACCCTCCGCGGGGTTAGGCCCATTCCTTTCCAACCACTGCCCAGCTACCCAGACTCTGCTCTCCCCTGTCCTCTCCCAACCCCCCCTCCCATCTCAGCCCCAGGCCCCACAGGCTCCGCCCCCAAAATGCGTCCCGACTCCATCCAGAATTCAGACTCCCCATTCCTTGTCCTGCCTTTTCCTGGTATAAGACCACCCTTTCCGGGTCTGGGCCCAGCGTGGGTACAGACCGAGGCAAGAGGCTCCGCGGGGTCCGGGCCGGTAGCCGGGGGCACAGGTACAGGCATAGGAGCCGTCGGTGTTGAGGCATTCGCCGTGGGGGAAGCAAAAGTCGCCCTCCAGGCACTCGTTCACGTCTAGGGTGTGCGAGACAGAGCTGGGGGTCACCGGACCCGCCCCTGAGACCCAAGCCCCGCCCACAAAGCGGCCACCTCGCCCCCAAGCCGCATGCTCTGTTGGGTGGGCTCTTGGGCTCCACCCACAGCTCCTCTGTCCAGCTTCCAACTCCCCAACAGGCTTCGCCCAGGAACCCCTGCCCATCTCAGGCTCTCCGGCCCTGGCCCCATCCTGCCCACCTGCGCAGGGCCCAGGCCGGCCAGGCGGCGCCCGGTAGCCAGGCGCGCAGCTGCAGTGGAAGGAGCCTTCGGTGTTAGTGCAGTGGCCATGGGGGCCGCAGGAGGCGCCCGAACTGCATTCGTCCACATCTGTGGGAATGGGGGTTCCAGAAGGGGTCCAGAAAAAAGGGGGACCCATGTAATACTTTCAACAATAAAGATTTTTTAAAAAGAAAGAAGGGGTCTAGTCTAGAGACACACCGGACGGATTCCGTTGGGGCAAGGGGTCTACAAGAGGTGGTGGGCAGTGTCTTGGTTTGGATATGGGAAGGCTCCATGGCAGAAGTGGGCTGGGGAGACCCGGGTTCTCTGATTCTGGGGACCATGATTGGGGGTTCTGCGGGTTTGGGTTTTTGGAACTCCCTGTGCCAGGATCCTGGTACAGGGGTCATCAATTAATTAGGGTAAGGGGTTGGGTCTTGTAAACCAGGATCACTGGATGACATTCTGATGAGTCAGGGTCAGTGAATTGGAGGATCTGAGACCAATTAGGTCAGGTGTTATAGTCAGGGTCCAGAGTTCTGCCTCTAGTCAGGGGTTGGGGCTGGGGATGTGAACCCAGTCAGGCCCCAGGGAAGGGACTCTGAGAAGAGACAGGGGCAGTGAAAGAGAGAGTATCAAGGGTTACACAGAATCAGGGGTTGTAGCAGGGTTATGGTCAGGAGTTATGGTTAGGTCAAATGTCAAAGTCAAGTTCAGGGGTCACAAGTCACATACAGAACTTGTGACCATAAGGACAGGCAGGGTCAGGAGGGTCACACTTGCTGTAGAGTTGTGGCAAGGGGTTATTAGCAAGGATCATGGTTAGGGTCAAATGTCAAGTTGAATGTCTATGAGTCATAGAGTAAGAAGTCACATTCAGGGTCAAAGGTTGTAGTCCAGGTCAGGAACTGCAGTCTGAGTCAGGGGCCCATAGTCTATGTTAAAAGTTAGTCAGGCTCTGGGACGTGTGGTTCGGGTGAGGGAACTGAGGTCCAGGTCAGGAGGTTATGGACCAGGTCTGGGTTGCAGTCCAGGACAGGGGTCACCATCTAGGTCAGAAGTTACACTGCAGGTCCAAGGTCATAACCTGCTCTTACCAGTACATCGGCCACGGTGCAGGTGGTAGCCGGCAGGACAAGCCCTGCACTGGAAGGAGCCGGGGGAGTTCACACATTCCTGCCCAGGACACGCCAGGTGGTTCTCACACTCATCAACATCTGAAGGACAGGGGAGAGTATGGCCTTGAAGGAGTGTTTTCACAGCCCCCCCCCCCCCCAGGCCTCCCTCCCTCCCTCCGGGCCCTCACCCTCGCACTCGGAGCCAGCAGGGCTGGGTTGAAAGCCTGTTGGGCAGACGCACTGGAAGCTGCCTTCTGTGTTCTCACACCGTCCATAGGCACAGGGCTGGGGGCTACGGGCACATTCATCCACATCTGGGCAGAGGGGACCAGTGGGGCTGAGGAAGGAGCCTGGACCCATCTCCATTGCCATCACCCACCTCAGCCTCAAGCGTTGCAGTCTGGAGGCAGCCT